CCCTCCGCTGGCGCGCCCCTGCCACTGCTCTGCCGCCCTCACAGCAGAGAAGGCCCTCCTCAGGTGGAGATGGAACTCCCTATGCTCCAGTTTGTGCCCGTTCCCTCTTGTCCTGTCACTGGGCACCACTGGAAAAAGACTGTTCCCATCCCCCGGCACCTCCCTTGAAGGATTTATCAGCATTGATAAGATCCCCCTCAGTCTTCTCTTCTCCAGACTGAACAGCCCCAAGTCCCTCAGCCTTTCCTCGTAAGAGAGATGTTCCAGTCCCCTCATCATCTCCGTTGCCCTTTGCTGGACCCTCTCCAGCAGTTCCCAGTCCTTCCTGACCCGGGGAGCCCCAAACTGGACACAGTGCTCCAGATGTGGCCTCACCAGGGCAGAGCAGAGGGGGAGGATGACCTCCCTCGACCTGCTGGCCACACTCTGCTTGATGCCCCCCAGGATGCCATCGGCCTTCTTGGCCACCAGGGCACATTGCTGGCTCACGGGCATCCTATTGTCCACCAGGACTCCCAGGTCCCTTTCCACAGAGCTGCTCTCCAGGAGGTCACCCCCGACCTGTACTGATGTTACTCCTTCCCAGATGCCGTACCCCACACTTGCCCTTGTTGAACTTCATGAGGTTCCTCTCCACCCCACTCCCCAGCCTGTCCAGGTCACGTTGAACAGCGGCACAGCCTTCCGGCGTGTCAGCCACCCCTCCCAGTTTGGTGTCACCAGCACACTCGCTGGTGGTACACTCCATCCCTTCATCCCGGTCGTTGATGAACACATGGAACAGGACTGGACCCAGTACTGACCCCTGAGGGACACCACTCGTCACAGACCTCCAACAGGACTCTGCGGAGCTGGAGCAGGGAGTGAAGGGGAGCAGCAGCCGCGAAGGGTCCCCGGGCACCAATCACCCCCCTGCGAGCAGCAAAGCACCGACTCGGGGGTGAGGGACACAGCGGCAAGGCGCCCGGTTTGTCTGCATGGCCCACTTTTGGTTGGCCATCGGGTTTTTTGGATGGTTCTTCTGGTTTATAAACTATATAAAGGAGGTTTAACTGTGGCATCCTCAAGCTGGGATGGCCAAACCCGCTCCTGCACCCCACAAGCGGCGGTGGGGAGACCACAAAGGGCCGGAGAGCTCACAGCAGCGAAACCTCCTTTTTTGGGGACACCCAAGCAGGCGGCTGGCACAGCACCAGCCAGCCAAGTACCCAAACCGGTATTTTCTGAATGTCATCGTCGCATCCGTCACGGTCACGAAGGCTCTCCCTGAGCCCGGGGCAGGAGGGGGTCCGGAGCGCCGCCTGCCCCAGCTCTGCTCGGAGAAGGAAGGAGAGAGAGGAGGAAGGTGGAAGCAGGTCCTGCAACGCAGCGGTGCTGCAGGAGCCGGGGTGGCGCTGGCCGTGCCACGCTCGTGAGGACGGGTCACTTCACCCCGCCGGAGGGTCCGGCAGCAGGACCCGGTGCCTGGATCCAACGTAAAGGTGCCGGCGCTTCCCAATACGGAGCCGGCTCCATACGGCGAGCTCCCCAAAACGAGACGCCGACCAGCAATTTGGCTGCCATCCCCACAATTCCGGGGTATCTGCAGCGAGACCCCAGACTCAGCCCTGGGGGGAAAGAGCCCACGTTCCGGGCATCCCCCGGGGCAGCACCGTGGATGGTGGCGGGGCCGGCAGCGAGCCCGGCAGCTCCCGGCAGGCAGGGAGAAGGCAACCGCCCGCGCACCGGGGCCGCAGCGCCGAAGCA